AGTGCGTACCCCTCTCAGTCGGTGAAAAATTGCGCTTATGCACACAGTGAATTCCTCTTTGATTCTTCATCTCCTTACGGAAATGAACAAAATCAAACGAATCAGAACAATTTCAGCTAGGAAAAACAGAACAAAGCGAAAGGGAGAGCAGCGTGAGGAAATTGATCACCGAAAACGGAAACGAGTTACTCGAAAGGCCAAAAAATGAACAGAACACGAAGACGAGAAGAGCAATAAAAGCGAGATCGTAGAGAAAAAAGAAGCATCATCAGTGAAATGAGATTGAGGAACGGATCAGATTCAATAAATTGTAGTTGCGATCAGATTACTAGATAACAGTTGTCACTTCAACGTAATTCTAACAATTAACGGCATCGAAATACTATTCAGTTTCAAACAAAACTTCCACTGCGAGCAATACTCAAATCCGTCACATACTTCGATTGCTCTATCGACGAATACTGCGGAAATAGTCGTAATACAAAAAAAGAAATACGACCATACCCAGAGGACTGCACTCAACTCTTCATGTCACTTACTGATCGCAGAAATATGATGCAGAAAGAATGAGCAAGGGAATGAAGATGCCTTATGATGAAAAAAAATCGTCGAAACTTAATTTGTAAAATTTTCAACAAAACTGCTCCTGAGCACAAGAGCACAAAACAAGGCAATGCTAATTCATCGAAATGATAGGAATACTTACATTCACTGCAAAAGAGATACGAACGTTCTGAATGAACAATCGAAAGAAGGACGATATTTGAGAACTGAATAATTAAGTAAACAAATAGAAAGAAACAATCGTAAACATTGGATGGCTAGAGCAAATAAATAAATAACGAATAAGAAACGAAGAATAAATGATGAATAATGAAAGAATTAATAGTAAATGTGCTAATGTAATGTTCGCTTCCTTAAGGATTTGTCATCATCACTACTATCAAATTCTTAACGTCCTAATCTCACCATTCGTAGCCCATCTGAACTGCACCGTTGACTAATAATATTCAATTAGAGCAGCTGTTCGTTCTAGAATGTTTGCTCTAGTTGTTGCTACGTAGTTATTTGGCAGTAGTCATTATAACCTAATGTCCATATATGATATAATCTAACATCTTATATATGATGTCAAATCGTAATCAATCATCCTTCCATCACTAACAACAATCAATCTACCAACAAACATCTTCTGTACTCATCAACATCATAATAACAGCAACAAAAGCTAACAACAACTGAATCTCAGCTTTCCTTTTAACTGCCTTGCTTGAAATGATGATCACCCATAACGTGCAACACCAATAACTCTTCGATGAACAAAATATAAGTTACTGGATTTTTCATATCTCCTTTGGATTTTCATCATCATCATCAAATGACGAAAATCGTGATCACGATGAAATGAATAATTCAATGCAGTAGAAGTCTGAGAGCTGAAACAGTATTGAATTGCATAAAGAGAAGGAAGGAATAAGAGAAGTTTTTAAGTAGCTGATGTCTCCTTTGAACGAAAATCTTGAATGCATCACGTGTGAACAGTACGAATTATTCAAGCTCCAATTCAACAACTACATCAATAAAAATAACAAAACACTAAGCAGTCGTTTTATGCCTCATCCATCACATGGATGATACAATAGTGCCCCACGAACAAAGAAAAATGGAAAGAACATACATTACAAAAATACAAGCAATACGAAATTGGACGTTACTGAATAAATAAATATGATGGAGGATCATGTTGTTGAAATGAAATCGAATGAAAATGATATGAGCATCATTGTCATCAGATAAAATGAATGATGTATGAATGCTTGAAATGAACACAGAATAAATGGTCGATCGAAATGTGATTATGATTGAAGGCAAAGCAATGAACTGAAGAGATGAACTCAGATGAGAAGATGCCATCAAAAGGCTAAGAAATGGTGGTAAAAAGATGAAGAACGACGAAACGAAACGGAACAAAACCGTTTCAATGAGCTCAACACTACGTCGTCCATTCAATCGCTCAGAATATGTCATCAACAAAGCGATGTATGAAGATAAAGACAACAATAGTTTCTTCTCTTTTCCCATCCCAACGGAACCCCGAAAATATCCACCCCCCATTGTGAGGTGAAACTCACCTACTTATCAACTTACGCACCAACTATACGACAATAGATGCAATCGTTTTGAATGTCACTCACAACATCATTTACCCATTTACTATATTTCCGTACGATCATTCATGCATCTTGTCACCATTATTTTAAAGTTACATTTATACATATGTTGCTTATTGTTAGTTTTTGTGCAGTGCACACCATCCATAATACTACATTAAAATACATTTATACCACATGCAGATTCATTTTTATGATATCTGATGTTGAGCATTTAGATTTTTACAAGAGCATCTGAAACGAAAATATTTCTTTCGCTTTTCACTTATCATCAATTCTCCACTAACACTTAATTAACTGTATTCATTCGAGTGACTGATTGAGAGTGGTTATTCAAGAAGAGTACAACCTGAATTATTGGTTAATTGAAGTATAAAGTGAACTTTTTTCCTCTTAAATTAGAGACAATTTAGAAGGAAGAAAAAATTCAATGATTTAATTTGAGGCTCATTCATTCGTGCATTGTGTTCAATCACCAATCCACTAGTGCATCTCATTTGAATGCTATCGAAAATAATGAACCTCTTAATGAATTTAAGCAAACGATCACTCAAACAACCCAATGATCTTCTTTGAAACTGCGAGCAAGCATCTCAGTTCTATATATCGAAACTGAGAACGACAAAATCGGTTCATTGATGATGGAAGTAGCTTTCCCTTTAAAGTCAGCACACTCCTTGAATACTCTCCTGATTAAGGATTGGCGAGAATACTCATCAATCACAACAGCAACAACAATAACCACTGAACGGAATTTCATCTTCCTCTCAAACGTCTCATTTTCACTTAAGTCTCACTTTTCAGCACTTGGATAAAAAACAAGTGGCCACAATGAATAATGTGTAACAGGTTCAATTTGCACTTATGCCTTCGATACGCATATCGGTTAAATTTTCCTTATAATGAGAAGATATGATGACTCAAAATTTCATAAACCATTTCCTTTCTCTCAGAGGATTAATTAATCGATTAGTTCATCCATCTCCCTTCACAATTACCACCATTACCATATCAGAAATCGACTTCAATCTATATGATTCACTCGGAAATATACGATTCATAAATCGTCGGAAATTTCAATCAACTAGCTGAATCTGATGGTTCTTTCGGTTGTATCACTATGCAATTCCACATATTCAAAATAGCTCCTAATTACTCTCAATGTTAACACTAATGATCACTCAGGCAATTTATATTCCCAATCGCACGATAATCCACCTAACAAATTCATTATCATCTCTTTCAGTGCTCCCTTATTGTTCCATAAACAAACCGTTAATTAGATGTGCATTCACTGCGAATGCAACTGTGATGCATAAGCGCTTAATTAATCAATCGACTGCATTCATTGTCTACTTTCTAAAAATCTGTAGGGCTCTTGTTCACACTTTTTATTCAGTGAGATTGGTGTTACTAGAATAGCAAGACTAGTGAGAAATTTCTAACATTTCTAATCAATCTTTTTCCAGTTCAGTTACAAACTGACTGAAAGTAAAACTAAGTGATCATAGTCCTTAAAAGAAGACGATTTGGGTTTTAAGGTTTCTATTGAATTTGAGATAATCATATAAAAAGCATAAGATGTTTTTATGCGCTCCCGAAACAATCTGAGATAGGCAATATTAGAACAGTTGGATGTTGTATACCAATGGTTTTCGGGTCGTGCAATTAGCGGAGTTATGAGAGTGCCGTCGTGCGCAAACGACCAATCGACGATACTATTGAATGAGGTCAACATTAATTAATAACAGAAAATGATCATAATACCCGATTGGGCTTACCTACGCTTAAATAACACCAATTAATTGTCACTTTATTATCATTACATCAGCGGTTCAATTCGAATCTAATGAATACCCTGCCATTTATGCCTTTATGCTCTTATTCGATAGCTTTCATATCCGTTAGCTTTCTTTTTCCTAACAAGCATTCACTACGCAAAAGCACCAATATCATATCATGCCGTTCTTACTCATTACGTCGAGAGATCCAATCCTCTCGATAATACATTATTCACATTCCTACTAAATGCTCCTCATTCATACCTATCATTACTCTTAATTTTCAATAGCGAATATCATTCGCTTTCACAACAGACGAACAATGTTATTGAGAATGGGTATGCATAAGTAAATGTGCTGTTGGGAACATCTGATCAAAGAGTCAGTCAGATAATGGAATACATTCATATTTCGTTGTAATACCACGTTTCATTTTCAGTTATTCAGCACTCAAACTCAAATGAAATATGAATGAATGATTCTAGCTATCAGCCGTAATCGCTTTCGGCCTTATTTTATGCATCCAGGATGAGGATGAATGATCTGAAGAGATAAACAGATACCATATCCCAAAGTATTAGTCCTTTACGACGACCACCATATATCATCACTCCCGAACAATCATACAACATAAATAGATTAATGCTCTTCTCTTTCAAGAACGCATTCAAAAAGTGGTCCAACAATAAACCTATTGCCAGCAGTATTACAGCAGTCAGCACACGCTTGTGTGCCTGGCAGGCATTGTTTACATGCTTTGCGCATTTGGCTTCAGCAGTTAGGCTGATTTGTCGATGTCGATAATGAGCTAATAAAAAATTGTGTTTCACTGCAGTGTTGTTTTGGCAAGCTCTAACGACCCATCCAATCCATTGAGTTAATGACATACGAACGTTACGAAGAACCTATCATTCATTCATTTTCGCTAATGGTATTATACTTATGGCAACGAAAAAGTCACTCTAACAATGCACTATTCAAAAATCAACATTTAGAACCGTAAATGAATTCATCAAAACATCCTGTCACANTAGCAGACACTTTAAATCTATACAAGAGTGACTATCGCAAAGAGATGATCGAATGGAAGAGCGAAGACTGAATTTCAAAATCATTTTCACTCAGAATCGATCAGATTGAAACATCGAGTTTGATGGCGCTCAGGAAATTGAAAAATTGCAACGAATCGAGCGAAACAAATGGAAGAAATGAATCAATCTGATGCGCAGATGTGCAAAGAATGCGAAATTGTTGCGAAAAATTTTCACAGCAAATAAAAAATTGAACAAAATGAGAACAACGAAACAAGCAGAAATGAATGAATGAACTGTTGTTCTTCTTCCAACCGAATCCAACCAATAAATAATAACTATAAATGAAAACACTCAAAAACCTACACATACTTTGCACTCTCGACATCATATCGTTCAACATCGCCGGACTTGGAATGGCCAATTTTTCTTCGTCATCATCATCATCCACACTCATATCCTCAATCCGTCGCGGGTTTACGACTGATTGCTGTTCTTTTACACCATTGAAAGAAGCACGATTCGAAATATTACTCGTCGTACCTATCCGTACAGTAGCAGCAGCAGAACTACCTGTACTCTTCCCATCATCCGCATTACTATCGTCTTTTGCTCGATGTTTTGCCATCTCCTCACTTTGGTAGCTCATAATCGCACATGATGCAAGTGATCGCTTTTTGACCAAATTCTTCGTTTGACTTACATCAACAACTTTTTTCTTGGTGGTCATACTATTAGCACGGTTACGAGTGGCAACATTCTTGCAATTGTTATTATTATTCACCATCGTCAGCGGTTGGGACTGAGACTGTATGGCATCCGGAGAAGTTTGTTGAGCACAAACATAAGCTTGGTGAGTGGCAGAAACATTGTCAGAAGTACATACATAAGTAATTTGCTGTTGGAGATGATGATCTTGCGTTTGCTGTTGTTGAAGATGATGGTATTGCAACTGGTGTTGAGAATACTGGGCCTGAGGCGAGTCTTGAATAGCGCTCTCGAATTCAATCTCAAAATCAGTCTGACCTGTCGACTGCCCATTTGTTGCTGATGTTGTTGTGAAAGAGGAATATCGAGGATCAACGCTAACACTGTCCTCTTCTGTAAGCAACGCGACATTATCTTCGTCAAACAAAGCTAGTGCTGCTCTATCGTCACTCAAACCCTGATTCAATTCATGACTACGATTCAGTGTCGACGAATGTGTATCATCATCATCAATATCGTACTGCGACACCGTTAAGCTGCTCTCAACAACATCATAGAAATGTGATGTTGTGTTCAAATCCGTTAACATCATATCATCATCTTCACCATCCATTTGTTGCTGTTGTTGTTGCGTATAACTGAACTGTGAGTCGAGTTCAAGCAACTTCTGCGGTCTACAGTGTGCATTCGCCGATGCCATATGAAAGCGTTTCTGGTGATTATGTGACTGATGCTGTTGCTGTGCAAAGAAGTGATGTTTTTGACTTTGCACACTCTGCTGATGTTCTGCAGCTGTGGACGAATGACAATGAGAAGCCAGCATAACGCCCTCACCGCTTTCGACAACCGCCAGATCTTCACCCATCGTCTCCTCTTCATAGAGAACATAGCCGCCAGCAGCGGTATGTGGCAAACATATTAAACCAGTTGACGGCGACACTTCGGACATGGATGAAGAAGCGACAAGGCATGTCTCAGGTAGTGGTGATAATGTGTCCATAGGTGAGTGATTACCGTTTTCGACGCTGTTGTTGCATGGCTCATATGGACGATCTTGAGCATCCGATAAGGTACGCAGAGTGTAAGAAGCATGATTAAATGGATAAGCAGTTTCGACAGAATCTATTGAACCATTCGAAATCAACAAATAATGAGAACCATCATCGTTGCTGACTCCTACCGGTCCATCGGCCAGGCAGTTCATCAACGGTGGAGATGTTGGTGCAGACGACTTGTGCATCATCTGAGAACGATCGCGTTTCTGGTTAGATTATCAAAGCAATGCTGTTATCAATACATACATATATCAAAGAACACACGATTTAATGACGCAACAACACGCCAACAAATAAATACCTATAAACTAGCAGATAAATTTCTATAGAATACTTGATGGCAAAGCGTCGACTTCAGCTCATTGCAGCATCTCCTAGCAAAGAAAAACTATGGGAAAATCAAGTGGTTGAGTTCATTAATATCAGTACCAAGTGGAATTTTACGAATTAACGGTTGCATTTATGAGGGTCATAACTATCTACTTAGGTGGAAACGCATACGGACAGTTCTATCTACCTTCGAACTTCATCACTAATAAGGATTCAGCATGAACAGAACTATTAAAATATATCATGGTTACGTCTATCAAACGAAAAATTCATTCATAAATTTGGGTGTTTCGCTACTGCAAAAGATCAATGGAATCAGTGGCCGTGCTTCACTGGTCAACAAGGCTGCTTCTGATCAAAGAAATATAAGGAACACCCATTCCCTGCACCCATCATTCCCCACCACCACTAATTCAACGCTTTCAACAATGAATAACCAACAATCGAAACCAAAAACGGAGCAATGCTCTACCTAATACAAAACAATAAATTTATGGGGACAACCACCAATTATGAGCCAGCAATACACCACCACCTTCACGAAATTGGTAAGTTGGGACAGAAAATTTGATACAAATTCGTGATGCTTTCAAATTTTTGACGATGATGGGCCCAAACAAGACGAGGGAGAGGAATGCGTTGAGGATATGACAATTCAACGATCGAAATACCGAACAATTGATTCTTCATGCAGCTCAGTGTTCGATATGAAGCGAATAATTTTCGATATGAATAATTAAAACTGATCTAAAATAAAACTGATCTAAGTAAACCTCGCAACTCAAATATGCACCGCGTATAAAAACAAACGTTCACATAAACAAAGTAAGCAAAATACAAGTAAGTATTACCACTAGTATGCATCATTCTCACCAACATTTAGTAATCATCAAATGATGAACTTTTGATGATGATGGATCAAGTGAGTCACATCCCAAAAAGCTTATTAACTACTTCTCTTCGCATCCTTTCAACGAGCACCATATACACCAATCAGTTGCCCCGATATCAATTATCCATCTAGCCTTCATTCCGTAAATCTCGGTGGAGGTGAGTATAAGAACAAGAACGAGAAGATGAAGCAAAAGAAGATGAAAATTAATGTATCAGATAGCGTCTCGTCTCTTAAGCCAGCAGCAGCAGCAGCCAACCAATCAACCAACATCCAACATCAGTAGCTCCAACGACGGGCTTCCTTCCTTCGTTCAGCAACTAAAGCTATAACTAAGGCGTATGTGAAATGGATGGTGCAGGTGTGCTCTTCTCTTATTATGATGCTGCCCATGTGCTCAGCTCTGCTTGGCTTGTCAGCTCGATGCTTCGCTTAATCGTTCACTCCACTCAAATGCAATCCCAATTTGGTCGAAGACGATACGACGATATGATAATTAGTTAAACGTACATCGCCCATCTTATTAACCCAAATATCTATCTGACCGTTTGGAACAGCAGTTCAGCAGCTACAATCAACCTAATGACATCAACATTTACATGATACCAATATTGTTTCTCATCCAAAGACAACCAACCATTACTGATGATAATAACAACAGCAATAATTATTTAAAAGTAATAATCATAATAATAATAATAATGGTCGTCCTATCCCATCCTGCTCTGATCCAGCTGTATCAATCAGCTTAATCTCACAAATCTCACACAGCCATCACTATATGCATCATTAAGCGATACTACATACTCGCTTCCTTCTTTATTCATTATTCATTTATTACCTTCTTCTAATCACCTATAATTTAGACACCAACATCAGTGAGAGAGACACACGTACACGATGCCCTGCGCATTTACGATGGCTTGACTGATGCTGTGATCGGTTAATTGTTTCATTATGTTTGATCTCATGCATTTAATGCAACTTCTTCACCTCATTATAAATATCTTCCTAACTAATTTATACCTTCGTTCGCTTTTTCAAATACACGTCATTTTCGATTCGCTTTCTTATTCATTTACTCATTGGCTGCGAAAATACAGAGTAAAAAGTAAAAAGAGTAAAAAGTAAAAATAGAGTAAAAATAACAACGAGCTATCACCATCTCATACACATACCCAAAAATATAAATGAGCAAACCTAGAAGCGGCCAATCAGTCATCAAAATAGTCCTAGAGGACACAGTGTAATAACTTGGTAATTCGAGAAACCATAAATGATACGACTTGCTTGACAAGCAAGTCATTATATGGCTGCTGCCACTGCTATCATCTGCTATCTGCAAACTTCGCGTGTTGTCGTCTCACAAAAACCGAATGATGGACTCTTGCATATACTTAAATAATCAAATCGACACTCCCTGAATCTGCATAACTGCAGATAAATTTCGTTCAGCCTCATATTTGATTACTGCGATCACTAAGCCGCTTGCCTTTGTGCTTATAAAAACAGAAAGCAATGTATCAACAATATGTGCCATACTAACAATAAGATAAACAACCGTTCAGTCAAACAGGAAGATTTCGAATTTGAAACAGGTAAATGGGAACGTTGTAAGAAGCATGCGACGACCGAAAGTAGGCAGAGGAAACAGGCTTTCAGCCGCTTTGCTAAGGATAAGTATACATTACGAAAACAATCTTAAGAGTTATGATAAAAAATGGGTATATATATATATCTCCCAGTAAAATAAAGCCATTTTTTGGATATGTCTGCTGATTTGAAGAGATTTAAACTGATGAGAATGGCCACGCAACTACGATCATCCATTCATTCATTTTCGTTTATCTATTTTTCATCTAGCATACATTTTCCAATTCATTCATTCGTCCATTCCATTCCATTCTTCTTCACATTCACCTCCCTCCTATCTAGGTTTTAAGAGCAAAAGAGAGAATCAATCCACAAAGCGATCCATCCGATCGTGATTTGCGCATAAGCCACGAATGAGCAGTAAGGTTGAAAGAGCTATTTAACTGCGTCGTTGTTCAATGTTTTTATCTGCTACACGTTCACTCGCAATATCCCACCTATTATATCCCACATCGCTTTAATTTCACCATAATCTCTATTCTATCCTATCATCATATCACATCCAGCTATTCTTTCCTGTTCCCAACCTACTGCTACTGTCCTACCTACCTTCCTAATCAAGCTCTTGTTTCATAAGTATCCGTTCATGCATCCATAACATCAAAGTAGCTAGGTGTATATTTTATTCTTTCAAACAATCTGCTATTCACTAATACTTCTTTGCTAGTGCAGTCGTTCATATGGCTCAGATTGTATGCAAAAGAACATGACAGCTCTGGATGTGAGACAGTACTGAGTTTACTACGTAAGGTGTTGCTGGTTACTCATAGACAGCGGCTGATGCTTTTCTCATATCTAGCAATTAATCCCATCAAGTTTTTAGGGTTAGTTAGTCAGTTACACTTAATAATTGATAACAATTATTAAGTGTAACTGACTGACTAACTTAATGCATTTACGACAACGGCTGATTGATTACCACAACACTGGAACACTTGATTGGCTGATCCTTTGCCTGCTGCCGAAAACAAACTCACGGCTGGGCGGTGCTTGTCAGCTCTCGAATGAGTCAGCACGACAAAGATGTGAGCGATACTGGTCAGAACAATAGTGTCAAGTTGGTATTTGAAGAGCGTGATAAATGAATGAAGTCTAATTTGACAGCGCAATTGAAGAATGTAGCGTAACGAATCAATGCATGCCGTGCAGCAATGTCATGTCGTGTCGTGTCATTAAAAGGTGCTAGTTAATGAAAGACAATTTCATGAATGAATGCATGCGTTTGGCAGTGCAATAATGCAATCATTTGCCTTCTAAGCTTCACTGAACTATTTAATCAACTAAACTCATATATACCATATATAATCTCCTCCTCATTTCACACAAGTACACATTCTCTAAATCTCCATTAATACCACGACAAATGAAATAACTCGTAAATATGTTCGTCAAATTGCTGAATGGATCGTCATGGACATTAGACTGATGAATGAATAGTTCACAATTGTTTAGCGTATAGCTGCTCTTATATTAGTCATAGCGGATGGAAAAATAGTAGTTCGAGAGAATTCGTGGTCAAACTGAGAAATTGGAATATTGAGCTTCAATTGATGAATTAAGGCAGTTTGAGAGAGATTACAACTGTGTGGATCCTATTCGGTTTATGTATTTGTATACAGAATGTTGTCGTCGATCATTCATCACAAAAGAATCTGAGAACTTAAAACAAATGCTTTGTGTGAGCTCGATTATGTTGTGAGTAAGAAAATGAATGGGAAATAATCAAAAACTTACATATACAGATTTATTATATCCATACTCTTAACTGCGTACGAACGAATCTGATATGTATGAGTACATTATGAGGTTACCATTCTTATCGTTACTATTATTAGCATCAGCACGAAAACATTGTAATGATATTTTACAGACATGCCACATCGATGGATTTGGATAGTCACATTCAATTTTCAATGCAGTAATGACGCTCTACTAGTCACTTGTGAAGGTAGTTACTCATTATTAGTCACCTGAAGTCAGAATTTAATTAAATTGCGCTAATGAACATTCTCTCATTACATTTCATTTAACCACGACACGATTATTATTCTTTTTGCTTACTTGCATTAATCTTCGTATCCCATACATTCACTGACCAACTGGAAGGTTGCACAGAGATACGAAACTTCCTTCGTTCTGCTTAGTTCGCTTCAATAAACTCAATAAATTAGTTGTTGGATGTCAAACATACGAATGAAATTTAAATTCTCATTAATCCTAATTTGAACAAACCAATTATTACTTTCATGCAAATGCCAATGGTAAATGCATCGTAACATGCAGCACAGCTTCGTTATGAATATGAATTCTTAG